ATTCATCCATGTCATTAATTCCCCAGCACCTACCAAGTGCCAACTGTGTGCTTATTCTCTTCATCTCCCACCTCGGCCAAGCCTTAGGAAACCCTCGCTGCACTCCAGCTCACGGGGGTCGCTTAGGCCAGGCACTTGCCCAGTGTTCATTCTGCTCATAGGCAGAGTGCAGGTTCCCACCTCACTGGGAATGAGCCCAGCGCAGCACTGTAAGTAAATGGCCCTTCAGCGCAGCGACGATACCAGCTCATGGTTAGCACTACTGGCAGAGCCTGTGTGAATTACTTTAAGTACAGTATCCCATTCAATCCTCACAATAACCCAATACAATGGATAACTACAATGATCTCCATTTTACAGATGAGGAGCCCAAGGCACAGAAACTTTGTCCAAAGTCCTGAAACAAACATACGGCACAGTTCAGATTCAAACCATGAGTCTCCTTAATGACAAAGTCTTTGCTCTTAACACTAAATTCTGCTGTCACCTTGTTAACCAAAATACTACATAGTAAAAGAGTCTGAATTAATCAAGTCTACATTACAAAATATAGGAAAAAGAAATCTTTCCATTTTTTAGTTTTAAGTATATAACAGAACCGGGTTAACCAAATATTACTGAGCAGTTCTGTTTTGATGGATGACTTTCAATAAATGTTTATTAGTAACCGATAGAAATAATTCTTATCCATTAATGTTTAATTGTCACATCATTTTCCTGCCAAAGTAGTACTGTCAACTGCTGTCACATTGAACGTTACTGGATTCTGTTGGAGGTCTTAAGATTATAAAGCTTCCATTCAAAATCTTTTAACACTACTCAATTGTTTAGAAAACCGGTCATGTCCCAGCTCTGGGGAATCATCATGTACTCCATATTAATCAAGTCTGTTTTAATAAACTGCTCACAGCAGTCTCATAGCTACAGGAAGAAAAATTAACTGTGCAGAGTCAGCCAGCCCTGGGAAGGTGGGAGAACTACAGGCTAGCTGTGGTGGGTACTTGTGATTCTTTCTGGCTGTCAGTATACAACTCATTGTCCCACATTTGGGGAATTTCTTACTTTGTGAATATTGGTGGTGGAAAAAGACCACTCCCCATTATAGAGTGTGAAAGCTCGACCCCACCGCTTTTGCTAGGGTGGGGCATGTGACCAATGGATCCTCCCCCGAGACCCTTGATTCAACTGCTAGTGATACAAAGAACAGGACCTTCGCTAAATCTATTCCACAGAGCAGGGAGGCTGCGGCAGTGGCTACACCCAGGTTCAGGGGCGGCAGCCGACATCATTGGGATCAGAGGTGCAAGCAGCAGGGGCTGGGCCCAGGGGTGATGAAAATGACACCCTCACAGCACCAGTTCTGCACTGCAATTTAGGACTGTGGTCCTGGCTATAGCATCCAAGCCCTGTTCCCAGCATACCCAGGGAGTCTATGAGGCTTCCTAACATCTTGTAATAAATTCCTTTTCATCCAAATCATCCAAAGATGGTTCCTGTTACATTGAAGTTAAGAACCACAACACTAGAACTGTACCTTGAAGCATTTGAAGACCCCATATCAGATATCTCTGAACCAAAGTTTGGATAAACGCCTCGGTGGAGGAGTTCAAATTCAAAACCAACAGGTGCAAATGGTCAGACACAGGCTGGGTGGGACAGGGCTGCCTTTGGACTGCTCTTCTGGAAGGCCCAGAACTCTGCCCGTGGGAGCTCTTCTCTGCACCTGGCACCATGGTCACCGTGAGTTCAAACAAAGGAAAAGCCAGCTGCACCTCAAAGCTAATTAAAGAGCTGAACGAAGTTCTGTGTGTGGAGGCAAAGTTTGTCACCTGGTGTGGCTTGACAGGAACCCTGCCGCACCCTTACAGAATTGTATACTCTGTGATATCTGGGTCCTCTCTGTCTTGTGAGTCACCAGATTCCCTGCATCCAGAGCACAGTAGATGTTCAATGATATTAAACCTCTCTGAGCCACAGTTTTCTTGTCTGGGAAGTGAGGTAAAACATATTTATCTGGCAGGTGTTGTAAGAATAGATAACGTATGTAAAGCATCTGGTACAGTACTTAGTATTTAGTAAGTAATAACTGGTATTATTATTATTATCATTTCTAGGGATGGCATCAGGGCAGCTGCTTCACAGCCATTTGTGGTCCCCACGGACCATGCAAAATATAGAAGCAAAGCACAGTTGAGAGGCCAGTTACAAATAAGCAAAGCGAGGGGAGTGCTCGAGATAATGGCCCTTGACATTCAATGTGTAGAAAGTCCGGGAACACTGACTGCGGTCGTGACCTTGTGAGTGGGAAGTGGGTGGTGATGCTGCATCACCGAACGGCTCTGTAGAATCGCCACTCGGTGGAATGCTCCTCCACGCTGTGGTCTGTTTCGCGCAGTTCAGCAGCAAAGGCGTGGGGGAGGCGCGAGGGTGTGCCAGGCCTCCCCACACATCAGACATTCTGTCCAGACAGCAGGCAGGCGGCTGATGGATTGGGTTTTTTATGGAATAGAGTATTTAAATTTAAAATCATATACGTCTATAGTTTTTTTTAAAAAATAAATAGTACAAAAGGAGGTAAATGGAAAAGTCAGCGTCCCTATCACCCCCAAACCTTCAGGCAGATTCCCCAAAGATAATCACCATTATTTCTTACAGACATTTTTATGCACACACAAGGCTATATGCATATTTTTTCACAGATGGAAATTATAAAAAACTGTTCTGAAATTTGCTTATTTTTCCCCTTCCTACTTTATTTATCCTGAATAGCTTCCCGTATCAGTGTATGTAGATTGACCTCCTTATTTCTAACAACTGCTCTATTTATAAGGTAATATAACAGATGAGCTTTCAGATCTCAATGGCTTCACATAATTGAAATTTACTTCTCATTTACCTTAATCCAGTTGGTGATCGAGTGGGGAATGGGGGGAGGGAGGGGCTCTGCTCCTAGCACCGATTCAGGAGTCCAGGGGGACCAAGGCCCTCCCACCTTCAACATGTGACTTCCATATACTTGGTGGCTTCTAAAGTCACCCTGGGTGACATTCTCCAGCCAGCAGAGGGGGAAAGAATGTGGAGAAGGGTGAGAAGTTTGTTTTACAGAGAGCCACATCCAGAAGTGATATCTAACACTTCTGCCCACATTCCATGGCCAGAACTTGAAGAGCCCCCACCCTACACAAGCACTAGGAGATGTCCTGGCTGGACGGCTGCTTCCCTGCAACCCGATGCTGTCAAAGGGGACACAAACCTTTGGTGGGACGTCAAATACACCGGACTCAGTTGCGCTGTAGGAATACATCCAGATTTATTTAAGCTCCAGAAAGCTAGTTTTCTTCTTTTCTTTCTTCTGCTTTTCTACCTGTCTTTTGTCA